AAACTCAGATTTGTAACCATTTCTCTGTTTTCCACAGTGCATGATTTAGGCTATTCTAATATGCTTCTTCCAAGAAAAAAGTGAGAGATCTTACAACTTACAGCCAAAATGTAGTTAGTGAATGTTAACTTCAAGTTGTTGAACCTTGAAATTGACATTTGGTGAAAGGAAGGTATAAGCTGAGCTAACTGATGTCAACCTTTTGGTTTAAACGGTTGACGTGACCTGGCAGCTTTAATAGCTGATAGAGTCATGAGTTAAATATTCTATTAAAATTAATTCAGAGGTCATGTTGACTGTAGCTCATGATGACATGGCTTGCTTTATTGTAGACTGCATGGTGCTAATGAGAATAAGATGATGAGTTAGATTCCAAGTATGGACCAGTGAGTTAAATTTTGTTCTGTGGCTACACATTTTGATTTTAACCTAGTACAGTGGTTTGGTGGATCTTCATGGGAAGGGTGGCCCTATCAGGGCAAACTAGAGTACCTATTGAGACATTTCAGAGCCAGCCTTGGCTAATAAGAAACCCACCTGGGATGAAATAATGTCTATTCTTGTTTGTCATTTTATGGTAAACAGAGGCACGTTCTAACAATATGTTTAAAAAGCATTAGTATGAGTCTTAACAGAATATTTTAAATATATTTGATAATGTTTCATTTCTATTAGAAAACAATAAGCAGGAGCCTGGATTGCTCATATCCGGGCAAGAAGTGTTAGGCTGGAAANAGAAAACAATAAGCAGGAGCCTGGATTGCTCATATCCGGGCAAGAAGTGTTAGGCTGGAAACATAATCAGGATTGTTCTTAAAAAATATTTGAAATATCATATATAATTTTGTATAATTAAAATTAGTATTTGGAAATATAGTCTTCAATGGGTTTTTGAATACATAAAAACCTAAAAGAATTTGTGACTTCTGTCAGAAAATTTTTATAAATGCCCTGATAGCTTTATATCTCTCCTTACCTTGTATAATTATATAATTATATAATCGTGATTTGGAAGAAACTTTTAGCACTTAATTTCAAGTGAACTTACATTATGTTTGCAAAGTTTTAAACATAATTTCGAAGGTTTTATATTTTTGCAGGAATCGGGTGAGGGTGGGATATGACGGCAACATTCATTCAGTGTGTTGAGAAGGCCTTTTTGAGGAAGTGATATTGAAGAGTGAGAAGGAGTTATCTGTGCAAGAGCTACAGAATGAGGGCGTCAGTCAAAGACTCCAAAAGGGGAGAAACTAGATGTATTTCTGAAAGAAGCCTGTACTGGCTGAAATTCAGGACTAAGGAGGACATGACACAAAGAAGGGTGCAAATTGGGAGGGCCAGGTCACCAATGACCTATAGGCTGTGCCAAGCAAGTGTGTTATATGTTAGCATAACAGGAAACTATTGAAGGATTGCAACCAAAGGACTGAGGGGATGTGGTTTGTCCTTTTTGTTTTTTGTTTGTTTGTTTGTTTTAATTTAATTTTTTTTTCTTAATTTAATTTTGTCGATGTACAATGTGGTTGATTATTGTGGCCCATTACCGAACGCTCCCTCCCTCCTCCCTCTCCCCCCTCCCTCCCAACAATGTCCTTTCTGTTTGCTTGTTGT